AAGGAGTACTACAGGTGTCTCCGAAGGTACATGTTGAGTTGGCATATTTCGAGATTAGGTTTTGTCACTCCGATTGTCGGAGAGGTATCTCTGGGCCCTCTCGGTAATGCACATCTTTATAAGCCTTGCAAGCAATGTGACCAAATGAGTTGGTTACGGAATGATGCATTACGGAACGAGTAAAGAGACTTGCCGGTAACGAGATTGAACTAGGTATTGGATACCGACGATCAAATCTCGGGCAAGTAACATACCAATGACAAAGGGAACAGCGTATGTTGTTATGCGGTTTGACCGATAAAGATTTTCATAGAATATGTAGGAACCAATATGGGCATCCAGGTTCCGCTATTGGTTATTGACCGAGAATAGTTCTAGGTCATGTCTACATAGTTCTCGAACCCGTAGGGTCCGCACGCTTAATGTTACGATGACAGTTATATTATGAGTTTATGAGTTTTGATGTACCGAAGGAGTTTGGAGTCCCGGATGAGATCGGGGACATGACGAGGAGTCTCGAAATGGTCGAGACGTAAAGATCGATATATTGGACGACTATATTCGGAGTTCGGAAAGGTTCCGAGTGATTCGGGTATTTTTCGGAGTACCGGAGAGTTACGGAAATTCGCCGGGAGAAGTATTGGGCCTTATTGGGCCATACGGGAAAGAGAGAGGGGCTGCCTAGGGCAGGCCGCACGCCCCCCAAGGCCTAGTCCGAATTGGACTAGGGGGAGGGGCCGCACCCCCTCCTTCCTTCCCTTCTCTCTTCCCTTTCCTTCTCTCCTACTCCTACTACATGGAAGGTCTCCTAGTTGGACTAGGAAAGGAGGGAGTCCTACTCCCGGTGGGAGTAGGACTCCTCCCTGGCGCTCCCTCCCTTGGCCGGCCGCCCCCTCCCTCTTGCTCCTTTATATACGGGGGCAGGGGGGCACCCCATGACACACAAGTTGATCTACGGATCGTTCCTTAGCCGTGTGCGGTGCCCCCCTCCACCATATTCCACCTCGGTCATATCGTCGCGGAGTTTAGGCGAAGCCCTGCGCCGGTAGAGCATCATCATCGTCACCACGCCGTCGTGCTGACGGAACTCATCCCCGAAGCTTTGCTGGATCGGAGCCCGGGGATCGTCATCGAGCTGAACGTGTGCTGAACTCGGAGGTGCCGTACGTTCGGTGCTTGGATCGGTCGGATCGTGAAGACGTACGACTACATCAACCGCATTGTGCTAACGCTTCCGCTTACGGTCTACGAGGGTACGTGGACATTACTCTCCCCTCTCGTTGCTATGTCATTACCATGATCTTGCTGTGCGTAGGGAAAATTTTGAAATTACTCCGTTCCCCAACACGTTAGTCGCAGGAGCCACCCCGCCGCGCCCGGAGCCGCCTCCCATAGCCGCCGCCGGTCCGCGCCCGGAGCCGCCTCCCGCAGCCGCCACCGGTCGCCGTGGCCGTCGCTCCGGGAGCCTCCCCACCGGCCTTTTGCCGCCTGCCGCGGCCGCGCCCTTCGTCGCCGGTGGCCGCGCACATTCTGCTGACTCCAAGACGAGGAGCCGGTGCATCGACGCCAATGCGGGATCTGTCCGCCCTCCTCGCTCGCCGTTGACGCCGCCATAGGCGAAGGTGCCGCTGCTCCACGGGATCCGGCAAGGTCGTCTTCCATCACGACAGCCCATCACGGGTGCAGGTGACTGGGGCGTGGTAGTCGTCCCCATCGTCTCTACTGTTCCCATGCCAAGAGGTGGTCCTTCCCGGTGGCCCTTGCTCCTTCGCCAGCGCGCTCCACGCTGGGCCGCCGCCTCTGCTCCTCCGCCAGAGCCCTGCCGCGCCCGGTCGCAGCCTCGCGCGCCTCCGTGTCGGCCCTCCACGCCTCTCCGCGCACGCCGCAGACGGCCCTCCTCACCTCCCACGACACGCCCGAGGAGCTCAACTGACGACGACACCCATCTCCTTTCAGGTAAATCATGTTCCGATCTTTATATTCTGTTATTATATGCTTGTACTGATTTCTTAACTTCCCCGTGGTTTGCCCTTAATCCACTTGCATCTTGAGGGTCCTAAAAACAAACACTGCATACTGTTTTATCATCTCAACGATGTTCAGATGCATTTTCAGGGTCCTCTGATTTTCACAATAAAAAACAACTTCTGCTGAACATAAACATCATGACAAAGGTCCTTTTTTTCTTGAATTTTTTTCCAGGTCCTTTGATTGGTCTATTCTGCGTCAAAGGTCCCGTTCATCTCGGGCAAATTGCGTTGCAGCCTCAATTGTACATGTGCTTCAATCTATTTTCATGTTGTTTTCTTGGGCCTTAGTGTTTTGCTTCTTGGGTGTTTGACGAACGCTTCACAAATTAAGCTCCTCTTAACAATTTCATAGGTGTCGGTTGGCCTGCAGCTTGTGTGGTCGGAGGTGCTCGTGTGGGCGGAGGTGCTCGTGCGGGATGAAACTTTGGACGATCTATGTTCATGTCATTGTTGTTTATAAATATCTTCTGTTGTTCTAGATGATAGTCTTGACTTTTCCGGTGTTCATGGCGGTAACTAAGGTATATCTATGTTGTAGTCGACAAGGGGGCCTACCTATGATGCCCGTGCAGTTGAAAATGTTTGCAAGGCAGCCTACGATGTCTGGTTGGAGGCCTACTTATGATGTCAGATTGTTGTACACGGAAATTTTGCGGGATAGTTTGCAAATTGGGAGTTTATGTTTTTCTTAGTTAGCTTTTAAGATTGTTGTAGTTAAAACATGAGATGGAAGCCTCATATTGAATACTTAGCTATGTTACAAATTTATAGTAGTGTCTATCTTCTACATCAGCCTGTGTTCAAATAGTCTATTTTGTATGTTTGTTCACAGAAGTTGATTATCCTAGCATACAACTACCCTCCGGTCGTGAAGCCTTAGATTGAATACAAAGCTATGTTGCCAATGATCTCATAACCTTGCCTGTCACATTGCACCTATGATATGAGGAGTACGACAAATTTTACAAATAGAACATATATAATTTGTGGTAGCAGAATTACATTGAGTACTGAATATTTGATTAATAATCCTTACTCCGTATGGAGCAAAGTTTACAACCTTTATATCTAAAGCAGTTTAACTTTGATACTAGGCAGTGGGTATGCTAAGCTTTGCCACTTTCTGAAGTGTGTTGAAATAGGAGTTCCACTTCTTGATTTTTCAGGAAACTGAAGAAGAGCGTTTGAGGAAAGAGGAGAAGTGGGAGGCACAGGAAGATAAGAAGGGGAGAAGGGAGGGGGGAAACGAGAAGTTGCTCAAGAAGAATACTAGAAACGCCTTACCAGTAGGCTTTCGTTGCAATGTTTTCATGGATTATTGGATGAGTCTTCCTCTTGATTGTTTTTTTAGGTAAGTTCATGATCACATTGAAAATATGTGATGGATACATGGAGTTTTGTGGATGACCTGATTTATTGGGCCTTTTTGAGATTTTTGTTTGGAATTAATATTCAGCACAACCATTGCCAAAGTATATTGATCAACAGATCAGCTTCTAAATCATTCATCATTTTCAATGCTTTGTGTGATGGGTTCAGTAAGATGATGACATCCGATTAATATCTTGCTGTTCGGGAGGTTTTGACTATATGAAAAATATTGTTTTCTTGCCAGTGAAGATTAGCATGTTTGTACGCCTACCCTATAGTAAATTGCCGTATTCAGATCAATTGTTGGATTATCAGGGTCATGAACTGCTAAAAGATAGTGATGATCCCTTGAGTCTATTATAAGTGCCATTTTAGTTAGATGTCCTTTTTATCAATTTGTTTATGATAATAATTGAGAAATAATAAGCATTGTGGCATATCAAATATTACCATACATGGAAAATACCCTTTGGAATATGGTGGTAATTACACCTGGTTTTGTATTTTATTTAAAAAAATCAGAAAAATTTAAAATGTTCCAAAACATTTTCCCAACAAACTTGATTTGTCGTTTCTGTCGTACAAAAATATTTTGTGACAAAATTTTAGCAAATATTCTCTGACAATAGCATGAACAGTATTGTATATAGCGACAAATTTGTTTTTTTACGTCCACAACAACATGAAAGTCATTTCTTGGGAAAAGATTTTATATGGGTGCAACGTGAAAAACATTATTATTGGAGATATATCATGTATGAAGGAAAAACTATGTAAATATCAACCCGTATTTTGATAATTATTTGATGATAAGTGAGACGTGCGTTGCACGTGCAAGCTTACTAGTCGTGTGAAAAAAACTGATTATTTGTTGTGCGATCAGACAAATCCATTCATGCCGTTCCCTGCAAAAATAATAATCATTCATGCCGTTTAAAAGCGTGCAAAGAGGTCCAGAGGTTAAAAAGAACGGGCAGGGCTCAGACGTCGCAACGCGGCAGCGCCAGCGACCGTGGTGCGAAACGATTTTTCGTACGCATGCGGAAACGGCAGTAACAATTTCCTGATGCGTTCAATCTTTCGGTCCAAGTCGACGGGGACGAAACCAGACACAGCTACATCCGGGGGAGCTGCAAACACATATGCACATTCCTGAAGACCGAAGAGCGTTCCACCATGTGAAGAAAAATCAGCAAACAAGTTATGATTTCAGAGTGGGCTCTGAACATGCGGCAAATAAAAAGAGGAAAAAGGGAAAAGACACATGGATGCCTTGCTTGGCAGGGTGATAGAATCAAGTCCTTCCCTCCACTGGGATCTGGGACCAGTTCGATTCAACATCCAACTGTAAAGAAAAAGAGCACAGCACAGTACAAGATCTTCCATTCTCTTCAGAGAACATCTGCTAGCGTTGCTAACCTGGTAACTTAAACGTGCAGGTCCTATCATCTACTTACATGTGGAGCAAGCTATCATTGTCGACGGCCCATAAGATGCTACTATGTCTTTCCTCTGTGTTTGTTAGTTGGAGTGTCAGATACTGCCTTGGCCTAATGGTGACACGGAAGCGATTGCGCGACACCGTTCAAATGGAGCTCTTCAGCCCGTCTCTCGAGTCGGTAATCCATGGCTCTCCAGGTCTTGCAGCTGGTTAGATCTCCGCGGCGCTCCGTCTGCTTTGCATCCAGAGGCAGTCAGTCCAGAAACGAACAAGAAAGCTGTAGATAAAACCTGAGGTGCAATCAATCAAAACAGACTTACTAGGACCATGTTCGTCGTCATCGCTATCGCCGTTTTGAGATGTGAAAAATGGAGTGAGGTAGTTTCTGTCCAATGCGGCCAAGGAGGTCGTGCTGCAACAACATTCAAAACAAGTGGTTTCAAATGCATAGTAGAATTCCTGCGGAAAATCGTGTGCCTAAACTTGGTGTCATTAAAAAAATACTCGTACAGCATACTTAAGTGCGTGTCAGCAACTTTCAGTGCTCCTGCAGCCATGAGAAGCATGTGGTGTCCTTTGATTAGTAAAATTTAACTGCTAGCTTACTTTTTCTGGATTTCTTGGAGTTTCAGTTTGAAATTGCTTGTGGTAGAAGTCCGCTCTTCATTGCCCAATTCTATGTTGCCCGCATTATTGTTCCCCTCATAGTTCTCCTGGTCCTGCAAGTCAACAATGAATAAAACTAGTACAAATTTACAAATCGTACAGGATGCTCAACAGCTACCTACAAGCCTTTATCAGTAGAAAGAAATAATACACCAGTAATCCATGAAGATCCCATACCTATCACATGTATGCATATACGGGCCACAACAAGGCTGCATTATCTTATCCCATGAGGCCATGACAGAACCAGTGACAACCACAACCATAGATTACTATAGGTCATTTATTGAAAAGTTTCTAAAGAAACTTAGTTTCTAATAAATGAACTTATTTGTTATCAGCATAGAACCTATTGGAGCATAGCCTATGCTGCCACGGCGAAACCTATACTGAACGACAACACAATCGTGCCAAATTTTCTCTCGGGAAAACGCAAAAGCTTTGCGTCTCGATGCATTGATAGATAAGAAGTTTAATTACATGCCTAGATTGGGATTTGTAACCATGCCATCTGATAGGCAGAAATGTAGGATATAACGTGCCAATTTTGATGAAGTGCATATTACTTGCCTCAAGTGAAGAAGGGCGACGACCATCATTACCATCTCCCACAACATGCAGAGCTTCAAGCATTGTGCTTGTTGAGCCTCCAATCAGAAGTACCTGGATTATCGCCATGAGAGAAATTATTCGGGATGGTCTACACTCGATACTAGCAGTAGTAGCAATCCCAGCATGTCTTCCTATTGCCATAGCAGTTCTTTCACTAATGACATGTCTAGTGTAGTCTGATTGTTTGATATCTTACTGTTAGAACAACAATAGATATGGTAGCACTCAGAATTGTCTGTCCATGGCCGTCAGGAAGATCATGAACAGATTGAAGAGCAAGGGCAAAAGCCATAGCCCCTCTAAGACCTGCACAAGTAAATGCACAAAAACTTTGATAGAACTGCTTAATATGCCAAAAATTATACTGAGCAAGCATGCTTGTCAGACTACATACCACTATACCAAAGTGCCTGTTGATATTGCCTGGATATTTGCCGCTGAGGTGGCCGTACCATATTTACCAAGAAAGCACACGAGAAAACATTTGCAGCCCTTCAAAATAAGAGGACACGGCAAAAACAAGCAACTTCAGCAAACTCATATACATGAATAATGTGCAGTTACCCAATTCAGTTAAGAAATTTAGAGCCTGCCCCGCAAATGCTTCAGCTTGAGCATCGATCTATTGTATACCAAATACGATGCCATTTTTATAATGCTTGTGTGGTTCTGTCAGATCTTATTAAGTCTGTCGTATCGGGAGGTTGATGTTCAGTTGTTGACAGCTTATTGGCAGACATACAAACGAACCCTCCAACCTCACCAAACGAACCTTATGAAACAGCAACAATGGAATTTGAACAAGGCCGAATGAAAGCATACCTTGCAACTAATATGAAGATCTTCATGAATCGAACGAAGTAAATGCTAAGGAAAAGGAAAAATAGCAGTGTATCTCATAAGAAGGAATTATGCGCAGTATAAAGTAGCTCCCAGTCAAAGTGAAGGATACAACTGAGAAAAATATGAACCCAATGTGTGACCAGCTTTGACGCTCCATCGCAATATCAAATCCCATATATATGAATCTGTAGGGAGATTAGACAAGTTTGTATGTAAATTTACCAAAAACAGAAAGCTTTTAAGTGTTGACTTACACAAAAGTTTCTGCTAATGACGAAAGCAGATGGAAAAGTGCAGCAGTGAAACGCTGGGAGTCCTCTGACAAGTTTGAGAATGTGTATCTCTTCATCACCTAGAAAGAGAAGTTCCACTATCAAGTAAATAACTTCAGGCAGAAATAATAATTCCTGACTGCCTCATTTAAGTTGAACCTACGACTCCAGTAAAGAGTATTGAGACTATGCCAGACAGACCAAAGCCTTCAGCTAGCATGTACCTGCAAATGAATTTACAATTGAATCTAGAAGCCTCAAAGCCTGAGAAAAAGTAATTCAAGTAAGGTGTGCTTACGAGAAGTATGGGAAAAGCACAAACAAGCAGCTCTCGAGGTTATAAAGGCTGAAAAAAAAGAGTGCAATTGTTTATTATATCCAGGTAAACTTTGTTTCCCAAAAAAAAATTTGATCAGGGATGTTACTTACTTCTCAACACCGAGTGTTGAATACTTGAAGAGGTTTTACAGAATTAAGGACTAACAGATGGTTACCAGCATGCCAAAATAATGCAGAATACAACCTAACGGCATGCTAACACAAGATCAGTTTTTATTCAATCCAGATATGAAAAGAACACATCTAGGTTTAATTTTTCCACCAAAAGCATGTAAGCAGTGTCATCATATTCAAGCAGAGTAACAAACCAATATTGTGTGATCAATGCTTCAGAAGCATTACCAAAAGAAAACATCACATATAAATTGCAGCTTTCAGTGGGAGAAAACCATTAACGCTCTACTAATGATGCAAAAAGTAGGGTGAAGGAAGGATATGAGAGCAGAAATAAATCCAGCTCCAACACCTGCAAAGATAAAAGTAGCTAGAAAGTCAGTTCTCAACTGCCATGCAATTTGCACCTATATGCATAAGCATAAAATAAAACCAGGGGAGATAAACCACAGTGACATCAAAACTGTAGGCAGGAAATCTGTAGAAAATGACCATATGAATACATTGTTCGTCACGATACCTGTTGACATTGACCCAAAGAAGTTCTCAAGAAACCTTAAGATAACTATGAAAATGTTTTGGCTAGAAGCATTCGTCCTCAGAGATGCCATAGTCCTGAAGATGAAGGGAGTCAAGGCGGATCCGGAAGAAGCAAATGAATGAACCAAAGGAGATCACAAATACGGTGCTGACCTGTACAAGGAGATTGCCATCTTCATCGCCACAAAACAGATTGATATCAAGCAAGGTGTAAGTATCAGTAAGAGCAATAATACTAATAATTTTACGTAAACAGAAATCATACAGCATCATTTAGCACAGATTCACCGAAAACCAGCGCATAGAGGTTCACATCCGTGCCAAGTTCCTGCAGTTAAATGAAAAGTAAGTAACCATTGCTTCTAGGATACCAGTAAACACAGTGTACTAGTACCTAAGTTGGCGACAGAAACCTGAAATATCGACAGCACAGTTACAGGATCAGTTGCTGACACAAGGGCACCAAACATCATACACTCAACCAGAGGCATCCTATAGACAAGATGTATTAACCCAGCAAGGTAGCTGCAATGACAGCGCATCATCAGATGTTCACAGATCAAAGGGTTGGCATACAATATTCATGCAAGCAAAGTAGTCTAGACTCTTACACTAAAACACCGGTGACAATGGAGGCAATTAAGGTTCCAACGATTGCAAAAGTAATAATAGCACCAAAGTTTGAGAAGAATGGTTTCTGCAATTACAGAGATAGTATATTTTAGCTGCAGCTAGACAGAATCTCGAAAAATAGGGGCATGGGAAACGCAGCACTTACTGGTGCTAAGCTGAAGCCGGACTGGGTAGCATGCAGTCAAGCAAAACATTTTGCGTGAGATTTACAAAAGACATAGCCGGAAGTATAATGAAGCATTTTTTGGAAAAGGGAGGTAAAATGAAACATATGCTAAGGATATAATATGATAGGAGGCAGCAAGAACAGAAAGAAGAGCTCCTCCCGGAAATTGAACCATCTCCTGAAATTACAAAGAAACGGATATCATATCAGCATGGTAAACAAGGAACATGTTGAGACACTTAGGTTCCTGGGAAGAAGGTAGTATATACCTTGTACTTTTCTGGGCGTTAGATACGCTAGCAAGCCCTCCCACGATCAACCCTGCCATAAGTGGATGGTAGGTTAGCATAGAGTCACAATAGAAGAGATTTATCTAATTCCTGGACCAAGTATAACTAAAACTGTAACTTGCGGACGTCCTCATCTTTTTGCAGACCAGCAGCAAAATCACAAGAGGATCAGCAACAAAAATTATGAAACCATTGGGTATGCTCACATATGCAAAACGGATATAACCAGTTGATACTGCAGGTATGTTATGAAACTTCATTGCCATCATTATTTATAACCTCAGAACTCAGGTTTCAGCGTAATAAAGAAATAATTTCGAAATGAGTAGCAGTTCCATATCCAGGGGAGATCACAACCCCCCCCCCCCCAACC